TATGCAAACTAACGTAGACACTGGAGAGCCTGTAGGCAGTGTACCTGAACATTTTGTAGGGTTATTTTGAGTGTATTTTGTGCAATCCTTGATGACTTGAAGTGAAGAAACTGTTATCAGAGGTTGGAGAAAAAGGAATCCCTATTATGTAGTGAAAGAAAGTTGGTAACAGTGTTGCCTGCTGAAATTTGGATGGTAGAAACACATCCAACAAACTGGTGCATTTGGTTAAGAAAATTTCCAGGCAGAATGTTGAAAGTACCAAGTGATTTTTTTTTAAAAACTATGTGTGATAAGGTGTAGAGAGATGAGCTCTAAAAGGAGCTATTCACTTTTTAAGCAGGATTTAGAGAAAACAGTTTAGGACTTTGGGTATAAAAAAATAAAACTTTTTCATTCCCAGCTTCTTCAGATGGTAAAAGGTTCTGAAATGAAGGCATTGCCTTAACAGAAAGATTAATCCAGGGTGTAGCTGTAAGACTCTTGGTGGAGACTGTGTAAAGATTTAAAGATGTCTTACCTAGACCCTTTCAGGTAGACAAGAGGACTTCTAAGTATAGTAGGGGTGTTTTCCACCAGCTTTCTGACTCTCAGCCCAAGGCAGAAAGTGTCTGTCTCAGAGATCTGTGAATGTGCCTTTTTTTTTTCTAATGGAGTATATTATAGTTTGATATATATGGAGTCCACAAAATTTTAAAGATAATTGTATCTCTTTTAGAAGATCTGATTTAAAAAAGGAGTAAAAGGATAAAAAAATTAAAAGAAAAAAATCATATTCACAGAAACACTGCCTGCTTGGACTGAAATAGCATATGTACCTCTCAATATTTCAGGTTTCAAGGTTTACATGGTAAAAATTTATATTTATGCCTTAAAAACTCAATATAATATTTAAAACAAAATGATGTGGAAAAAATCTGAAGTTATGTTGCAACAAATATTGGTAGAAAATCAGAATCATATGTAGCTATTCTGATAACCTTGCCTGGTATCACTAAAGGGAATGTATATATTGGCTGTTGTAGAATTAATAGTGCCAAACTTAGTGAGAGCCATGCTTTGTCATTGTGCTTGTCCTTGATAAACATTTTTACAATGGCTGTATGTAGAGCTAAACCACTGTAGTGTTGCAAATCTTCTGTATTAGTTCTTAAGAACTCTTTCATTCTTTTTCATTGACATCTTCAAAGCCAGAGTATTGTAAGAGCAATAATTTTTGTATTGGCAACTCTTCAAAGCTTTTAAATTCTATCACAAATTGCCAGATTAGTTTTCTTCATTCACTGTGCATTTTCTTTGCAGAAACTCTTGTTAATGAACCCTACTCCTTCCTATCTTGGGCTAAGAGTCAGAAAGCTGGTGGAAAATATCCTTACTATACTTAGAAGTCCTCTTGTCTAGCTGAAAGGGTCTAGGTAAGATATCTTTTTTATTTTATGAAAAATAAGAAACAATAAGGTCCAAGAGAATTTCCAGTGAAATCACTGTCATATCCAGGGTAAAAAAATAAATGGGCCATGCAGATGCAATGTTTAACGTTACCTTTAATAGTGGCGTGATGAGAAGCCTTTCTTTGAAAAAAACCAGCTGGCTACATCTTATAATACCATATAAAGAAGTGTACAAATGTAAACTACTAGTTTACTGAAAACTGTTCCATTTTGCAAAATATTTTACATCCTAAAGCATAGATCATCTCCCCTCAGGATTTATCAATGCCTTCCTCTTCCAGAGTCTCTACAACAGTACTAGAAAAGATAGAGTATCCTTTCATTTGAATGTGAGCATTTGCCTGAAATTGCCCCTTTGCCACCCAATCAGCATTGTCCCCTTGGCACAATTGACAATGATAATTCTGTTCTTCTATCTCAAATGTCTTTAAGTTTCTTCCTTTCTTCTTTCCTTCCTTCCTTCCTTTCTTTCCCTCCCTCCTTCCCTTCCTTCCTTCCTTCCAGTTGGAGTCTCACTCTGTTGCCCAGGCTGGAATGCAGTGGCACGCCCCTGGCCACAGCAGCCTCGACCTGCTGGGATCCTTCTGCCTCAGCCTTCCAAGTAACTGGAACTACATGCGAGCACTACCACACCCAGCTAATTTTTGATTTTACTGTAGAGTCAAGGTCTTGCCAAGTTGCCTGGGTGGGTCTCGAACCTGCAGGTTCAGACAATCCACTAGCCTAGGTCTCCCAAAGTGCTGGGATTACAGACTGAGCCACCGAGCCCAGCTGTCTTTAAGTTTCAAGTCTTCATTTAACAACTAATTAAGAGACATTGACCGGGAGCAGTGGCTCAAGCTGGTATCCCAGCACTTTGGGAGGTTGAGGCGAGAGGGTTGCCTGAGTCCAGGGGTTCAAGACCAGCCTGGACAACTTGGTGAGACCTCATCTCTACAATAAATCAAAAAATTAGCCTGGCATGGTAGCACATGCCTGTAGTTCCAGCTACTTGGAAGGCTGGGGTGGAAGGATCGCCTGAGCTCTGCAGGATGAGGCTGAGGTGGCCAAGAGAGTGCCACTGCACTCCAGCCTAGGCGACAGAGTGAGACTTCAATTAAAAAAAAAAAAAAAAAAAAAGAGACACTGCCTGGTTTTAATTGTAGTCTAAATATTTCCTTTATTATTGATGTGTAATTGCTGGGCCACATGGTAAATGCTATTTATTATGAGGCATGCTAACTGCATGTGCTATTACATTCAGAAACAACTAATAATTGACAATCATATTAATGGTTTTGTGAATAAAATGCCATTTTTATAATACAACCTCATATGATAGTTTGTTTCTTATAATTAACATTATACTTTATTTTAAATATCTGGTCAGAATTTTGGGGTTGATATGCAAAGCATTTAATTTTTTTCCCATTTAAAAATAGGCTCCCATTTAGCATTTTCCTGTGAATGAACCTCAGATTTTCAGAAATAAATTATTAAAATAAAGTAACTTGCATTGATATTTCTGTAATTTCTATGGACAAGTTTATGCTATATGTTTTTGATCTTCTGACTTTTTGAATTGGAGATTTTTAAAAAATTGTGATTGTCTTGTTCTTGTTCCAACATTGTATGTTGGGTATATTGAGGGGAAGATGACTTTAACATGAGAATTGCATCCAGTCCTGAGGAATAAGAATATTTGTTCTTGAAATAGGATGTGGTAACTGCATGGGATCTTAGGTTATCTCCCTTGGGAAGGCAAAATATGTTTATCCATGGGAAGAATGATGTACCTGGAAGTTTGGGTAGCTAGAGACATAGATCCATGGCAGACACTGCCAGTTGCCCCTAATATCTGTTCTTCCCATTTTCTTCAGTAATCAAACCCCAAATGTTAACTGGGCACTTGTTCAATTAATTTAAAAAGATGCTATTTACCAACCTCTTTTCCAACTAAGTGTGGTATGTGTCTAAACTTTGTCCAAGGAATATAAGGGAAAGTGGTTTGTATGGATCTTCTTGGAAGTTTCTCTTCTTGTTTTTCTTGTTGAGTCGGGGTCTTATTCTATTGCCTAGGCTGGAGTGCAGTGGCATGTTCATAGTTCACCACAGCCTCAAATTCCAGTGCTCAAGCAATCCTTCTGCCTCAGCCTCCCAAAGTACTGGGATTACAGGAGAGAGACACCATGCTCAGCCTGAAGTTTTCTAAGAAAGGAGGTATGTCTTTCTTTTTGTCTTTGCCTGGTCTTCCTGGCTAGCATATCCATGTCATGCTGGGTTACACATTTTATAAGTCAGGGGAGAAATCACAGGTAACAGTTGGCAGAGCAACCTGTCAGAAACAGGCTGGGATCCCTTATGGTTAGGGAGCCATCGTTGTAGCCTAAGATTGCCTTTGTTTATGAGAGCAAGAAAGAGAGAGGGAGAGAGGGAGAGAGGGAGAGAGGGGGAGGGAGAGATTTTAAAAATCTTTTTACCATTGTTCTGGACTTTTCATCTGAGTATTCCTCTTTTATTTCCTTTAAACAACTATACCTATCTCATATTGTTTAATTTTTCTTGCTGATTTTTTGTCTTCTCCTTCTAGAATGTTAATTTCATGAAAACAGAAACCTTGTCTCTTGTTAACATTTGTCTCTCTAGGGTTTAGAAAGGTGCCTGGAGAATAGTAATGGCTCTCAGTAAATATTCATAGCATGAATGAATGAAGACTAGAAGATTAGAGTGGAATTCCTCTAAAGATAGCAAGTTCCTGCTTTAAGAAACCACAGAATTTAGACTTCCAAAGGAATTGGTGGGTTATAATAGGTGAGGAAACCGACATTTAGAGGGGTTATATGACTCACAGGCCACACAGGTTCCTTGTTATGCTAATAATTGACCAAGCCCCCGGCCACGTAGGAGTTCGCCTCTGCTCCTATGTGTTACTGGGTTGATGAGCGCTTGTCAAGGACGCTGCAGAGAAGATTCTCAGTGGCTCAGTGTTGGACAGGGTGACCCACTGTCCTTTCCCCACACGGTAGGTGTACGCACATGGCTCACGGAGATTTTTCAGTCCTCCCCAGGTGCCAGAGAGCTTACAAGGCCCAGCATGTGGAAGCAGCTCAGTGGCAACAAGCACGTAGCCTCAGGTGTCCATTACCTGGCACTCTCGAGAAGAGGAGCGAGCAGTTCTGAAAAGACGTTGTCCCAGGCATACCCCCCCCCACAACCCCGGCAACTCTCTTCCTCTACCAGCTCCCAACAGACACTTGTCCCCTTTCTTCCACTACCTTTAGCTCTCCTTGGCTAGGCCGTGGAGACTGGAGTCCATACGGTACGATCCACGCCGCTTTCTACTGCGCACCTGCCAGACCGCCCTCGCTCCAGCGCGGCGCGCGGCCAGCAGCGGGGAGGAAGGCGCGTCCCCGAGCTGCGCTCTCTCACGTGAGGCGCGCGCTCCCGGGCGAAGCTTCCCTCGGCGCCGGGCTCCGAGGGGCGGCGCGCGATGCGGCGGCAGGAGCGCGCCCCCGCGGAGGCCCGCTGGGCAGAGCGCGCACGCTCCGCCTCTCCCCGCCTCCCTGGTGCGCGCCCCGCCCCCTCGAGCTGCCATACGCCGAGCGCTCAACATCCGAGGACTTTGGCCCAGAGTAACCCCGCTCGCGTGACCTTTCCCCTCCATTCCGCACCTCCGGCTGTGGCCCGGCGAGGAGGTGGCGGCGGGGCTCTCGAGCCACTACTTCCCGAGCGCAGGCTCTCCCCCGCCTGGGCCCTCCGCGCTGCTCTTCGTCATGGCGGCCCTCAGCAAGTCCATCCCTCATAACTGCTATGAGATCGGCCACACTTGGCACCCTTCCTGCCGGGTCTCCTTCCTGCAGATCACCGGGGGCGCCCTGGAGGAGTCTCTGAAGATCTATGCCCCCCTGTACTTGGTGAGACCCGTCAGCCCCTCGGGCGAGTTTAGTGTGGAGGGTGGGCCGGGGGTGCAGGTGTCGCTTCCGAGGGGCTCTGGGGGACTCCTCGTCGTGTGTGTTTCTCTTTTGGAGGGGTCTCGTGTTTTGGGGGAGGAGTTTGGGGGATGGGGAGAGGTCCCTAGGGGCAGATATCCTAGCTACTGCACGGGAGTATGGGGAGGGGAATCAGAGGTTGAGCTGTCATCCGAATGCCTGTTGCTAGGAAGAGGAAGGACTCCCAACTTTTCGGGATGAAGTTTAGGACGCTTACAGACGTGAATGAAAAGACCTGCGTTTTTTCCTCTCTCTTGCCTTGTGATGGAGAGGTGTTTTGTAGGTCAGTGAGCGTATGAGAATGGCCTGCAGTCTTTCCTCATGTAATTCCCCGTGTTTTATTTTGCCCCTCTCCCCGCTCCTTTTCTTAAATGAAAGAGGGCATATTTGATCCTAAGTCTTTGTGACCTCAAATCTTGTCTCTGTTTGGAATGACAGGATTGTGATTTGAGGGCTTTGCAGGTGTTTTTGCAAGTTCACTAAATATACTCCTGGTTTGAGATTGCATGTGGTGATTTAAAGGTGACTGCAATCTTTGTGTCAGTGAAGGTGATTAGGAGATCTGACTTTGTGTCACCTAGATTCTTCTATTACATACCTTTACATGTAGGGCAATTAATAGAGAATATTTGGAAATATGTGTATGTAACACTGAGGTGTGTTAGAGATGCTTGTTCTTAAATATTCTCACCAACTTATTTTTTCTTTTTTCTTTTCTTTTCTTTCTTTTTTTTTTTTTTGAGTTGGAGTCTCACTCTGTCGCCCAGACTGGAGTGCAGCTCCCGGCCACTGCAACCTCGACCTGCTGGGCTCCGGCGATCCTTCCGCCTCATTCTTCCAAGTAGCTGGAACTACTGGCACGGGCTACCACGCCCAGCTAATTTTTTTTTTTTTTAAATTTATTGTAGAGATGAGGTCTCACCAAGTTGCCCAGGTGGGTCTCGAACCTGCGGGCTCAGGCAATCTACTCACCTCTTATTTTTTTTAATACCCTCATTCTTTCTTTAAAAACTTTTAAAATTTTCCAGATGTGGGGAAAGTAGGTTTAGGATTAAAATTTGTTAGCAGTGAAACACCAAAAAATTGGACATACACTTCTTGTTTCCAGTTTTGCGGTTAAGAGCATACAAAGTGTCATTTACAACCACAAAAGTGAAAAACAAATGAAAATGAACAACTCTTCCTAGATCCATCAGATAATTGAGTACAAGCCGGGCTTGGTGGCTCAGCCTATAATCCCGCACCTTTAGGAGACTGAGGTGAGTGGATTGCCTGAGCCCGCGGGTTCGAGACCCGCCTGGGCAGTGAGACCTCATCTCTACAGTAAATCACAAAATCAGCCGGGCGTGGTAGCGCATGCCTGTAATTTCGGCTACTTGGAAGGCTGAGGCGGAAGGATCACTGGAGCCCAGCAGGTCGAGGCTGCGGTGGCTGGGAGCGGCCACTGCACTCCAGTCTGGGTGACAGAGTGAGACGCCAACTCAAAAAAAAAAAAAGATTGTAAAAAAAAAGATAATTGAATACACAGGGGAAAGATCCACCTCCAGTTGGAAAGATATAACTTCATCCTTGATATTAAAGGTTTATTATTTTGGCCACTGAAGTTTGTTGTCTCATTTTCTTACTTTTGTAGGGTCTGAGTCCTAAGAAGGTAGATGTAATATTTTTTTAATGTATCCTAAAAGTTTCATTCAAGAATCAGTGGATGATCAATTCTTATTTCTCATTGAAGTAATTTGGATTTATACCCCAATGTGCCTGAAAGTGTGTCATGGCTATATCTTTAATACTTCTTGAAAAGTCTGATTATTTATTACAGAGATAACACAGGAGAAGATGGTGATTTTCTCTGAAGTTGCATGAACCCATTTCATTTTTAATCACATAGACTGATGCTTTTCAAATTTTGATGTGTATTAAGAATCCCCTGGGGACCATGTTAAAATGGGAGTTCTGATTCAGTAAGTCTGGGTGGGGCCTGAGAGTCTTCATTCCTAACAAACTACCAAATCATGCTGATATTGGGGCTGCAGTTTAAATAATACGGATCTAGAGTAGAAGCCAATAAAAACTTATTTTGGGGCTAGACATTTTTTCCTCGATTTTCTTTGGCAAAGATTCATGTTTGCCTGCTTTCCCACATGAATTGTGGCCAGTCTGTGACACAGATTTTTTAAAGAAAATATAACGTCTACAAAAATTATCAAGCTCTTGATGTATTCAACTACCAAATATAGTTCTTGCCGTCAAAGGATTATGATCTAGTTGGGAAGAGACTTTATGAAATGTAATTTTCCCTCTGAAAATTCATAGCACTTTTCATTCATTCATTCATTTAGCAAATGTTTGTTGAATGCCTAATATTTGTTATTAGCAAGCTAGAGTGGGATGGGGGTCAGGGAAAAGTGTTGTGTTTTACTATTATTTCTCTAACTATATTAAATACTTCTTGAGCATAAATTTTCCATCACTGTGGCTTTGTGTCCTTTATAGCTGTCTATTTCAAACTTTGGGTTGCCATTTATCAGTGGTTGTGAAGTAACATTAGTGGGAACTGACAAGCATTTTATGTTAGGTGAACTAGAAGAAAATAGAAAATGTTGGAGTGCATTGCAGGTATTAAGGATAAGCATTATTTCATGACAGTTTCATTTCAGTTATATGTGTAGGTTTGGGTGAGACTACTTAAAGCATATAGTAACACTATACTTTTTGTAAGTGTTGGGTTGTAGATTAAATGAGTACCCCCATGTGCTAAGATGCAAGGTGGTATGTGGGGAAGAAATTGGACTTTAGAAAGGGATCAGTCATACCTGTAATTCCAAGACTTTGGAGGCAGAGACGAGAGGACTGCCTATGCCCAGAGGTTCTAGACCAACGTGGAAAACTTGTTGAGATCTCATCTCTATAATAAATCAAAAAATTTGCCAGGCTTGGTGGTGCACAGCTGTTGCTCCGGCTACTTGGAAGGCTGAGGCAGAAGGATCACCTGAGTTTAGCAGGTTCAGGGTGCGGTAGCCACAAGCATGTCACTGCCCTCCAGCCTGGGCAACAGAGTGAGACTTTGACTCAAACAACAGCAGCAACAACAACAACAACTAAAAACCAACCAAACAAAAAAGGGATCAGGGATATCAGGATTTGAATCTCAGCTTTATCCAGTACCAGCTATTTGATTTTGTTTGTGTTAGAGACATTAAGTAATTTATAAGATTTAGGGCTAGTAAGAGAAAAAGACAGGATTCAGTGTTCTTTTTTATATGTATATATTCATTCTATCATGGGTTACAAGTACAAGATGGTGCTTTAAGATGATGAATTTTATAGCACTGAGTAGACTGGATAGGAAAGTTGTTGAGAAGTTGATACAGTAGATTCACCAGGTGGTGGAAAGATAACTCTTGTGGAATCCCAGCCTGCAATTTATTATCCGTGTGATGTTAGGAAAATTACTTAAATCGCTTTGAGCCGTAGTCTCCTTACTTTGCAGAGGATAATTGTATTCGTTTTTTAGGGTTGTTATGAGTTGTTAAATAGGATAATAATGCATTAATTGTGATCTGTGTCTCTAGCTAGCTTCTGTTAAAACTGTGATTTGTATCCAGACTAGCACAGTACTTCAGTAAGTGCTTAATAAATGTCTTCATGAGTGAAAATATGAGTATATGAACTCATGAGTCTTGCAGGAATGAGAAGATATGTGGCAGGTCTGCCAGGGAAAACGAAAGGGCAGTTCTCACCGCATTTCGCAGGAAGAATGAGTGGAGATGGAGGATACTGGGGCAGTCTGAGAACTTGTTTTTGCTTCTAGGATTTCAAGTCCAATTAATCCAGTTGCCATTTTAGATAGAAATGAAGTTCTGAAAGGAGCTGGTGTAGAGACCAAGGGAGAGCTTTCATTTTGATCCTCCAAAGTTTCACTGAAAAATCACTGACATGAGACACATTGATAGGAGAAAAGTCATAAAAAATTTTATATATGGAGCCTTCAGAATGAAAACCCAACGATATAGGGAAAATTGTCCATTTTTATGCTTAGATTCAATAAAGCATAGACAGTCATGTAGAAATATGACTGGACAATCAGGGTATGTTCTACCAATAGACAAATGGGGAAACCCAGCAAGGCCTATCTAGATTCTTCTTGGCTTCTCTGAGTGTGCATTCCTTCCTACTGGGTGTTGAGCAGGACGGGCGCCCTCTGGAATAGGGGTATTATGACCTACAGCCAAACAAGGCAGGTTAGATAATTTCTTTTCTTTATTTTTATTTTTGAGTTGGAGTCTCCTCCGTAGCCCAGGCTGGAGTGCAGTGGCATGTTCACGACCACCCCAGCGACGACCTGCTGGTTTCAGGCGATCCTTCTACCTCAGCATTCCAAGTAGTCGGAACTATGGGTGTGCATTACCATGCCTGGCTAATTTTTTGATTTATTGTAGAGACTGGTCTTGAACCCTGGGCTCAGGCAATCTTCTTGCCTCAGCCTCCCAAAGTGCTGGGATTACAGCCTTGAGCCACCATGCCTGGCCTAGAAAATTTATTTATGGCCAGATTTTATTCAGAAAAGTGGAGGGAAAGTTAGAATAATATTTGTAGGTTATATGGTTGGCTTTGGGGAAATGGGTTTTTGTTTTTATGATCTGCCTTCGGGAAAAGGATTCTAGTTTCTAAGGCTAGCTTCAGGGGAGAATGGGACTGGGAGACAGGAGGGTTGAAGGTCAGGAAAAAACTTTTGCTTCTGAGACCTTCCTTTTGAGGTGTAGTTTTCTGAGCCCTGATTTGGGGGGAGATTTTAATCAAGAATGTTTTCTGTAGCCGGTAAAATGGGTCTTGTATGCCTGCTTTTCATTTGAAATGTTATCATGTGTGTTGTACTAATTTATTCATATATTTTCTCTTGTATACATCTGCTCTCATGCTTCTTT